GTCCCTGGATCCAGTCCCGCATCGGGCTCCCTGCTCGGCAGGGAGCCTGCTTCTCCCTCTGACCCTCCCCCCTCTCATGTGCTCTCTCTCTCTCTCTCATTCTCTCTGGCTCAAATAAATTAAAAAAAAAATTCAATTTTGAGAAAACAGAAAAAGGGATTGGTGGGGCTGATGGTGGAGAACTTTCTGGAATGAAAGTTACTATATAATTTCGTTATTACAACCAATTAAGCATATGAATCCTGATTTGGGGAGGGGGGTACAGCTACAAAAGATATCCTGGGGGGGGCGCGCCTGGGTGGCTCAGTCAGTTAAGCATCTGCCTTCAGCTCAGGTCATGATCTCGGGGTCCTGGGATCCAGCCCGCACTGGGCTTCCTGCTCAGTGGGGAAGCCTGTTTCTGCCTCTGCCTCTCCCGCAGCTCATGCTCTCTCTCTCAAATAAATAAATAATAAAATCTTGAAAAACAAAAAAGAAATGCCTGCTGAGCCATTAGGGATAGAATGTTAAGATATCTACAATTTGGGGCGCCTGGGTGGCTCTGTCGTTAAGCGTCTGCCTTCAGCTCAGGTCATGGTCCCAGGGTCCTGGGATCAATCCCCGCATCGGGCTCCCTGCTCAGCCAGAAGCCTGCTTCTCCCTCTCCCAATCCCCCTGCTTGTGTTCCCTCTCTCGCTGTCTCTCTGTCAAATAAATAAATAAAATCTTAAAAAAAATATATCTATAATCTACTTTCCAATGGTTCAGCAAAAAAAAAAAAAAGCATATATACATATGTAGATAAAGGAAACAAAATATTAACAATTAAATCTAGGTGGGAGGGTATACAGGCACTCAGAATACATTTTCCCCCCATCTTTTCTATATGCTTAAATTTTTTTCCATAATAAAAAGAGGGTAAAATGCTAATTAGAACCGGTCCCTGCCAGGCAAATTCACATAATTTCCCCTACAACCTATCCTTATGGACTGGGGGAAAAAAAGGAGGCTCTGAGTCTCCAAGTGGCTTGCTCCAGATCACATGCTGGAGAGCTCAGAGGAATCTCAAGAGCTTGGTCAACCTGTATTTATTAAGCACCTACTATATTATGGGCACCGTTGTAGACACTAGGGGAACAGCACTGGATAAGCCTCATACCCTCATACAGTCTCTCTTTTCATGGATCAGGGGAGGGGGTAAACAGAGAAAAGAAGTCTGACAATAAAAACATCCATGGAAGTCTGACAATAAAAACATCCAGGCACTGTTGTAGGCATTAATGATAGGCAGTAAAACTATAGACAAAAATCCCTGATGTGAGGGCGGTGGACAATACACTTAAAATAATAAAGAAATAATTTAGTGTCTTAGAAGGTGACAAGTGAAAAGGAAAAGAATAAAGCAGAGCAGGAGGAGAGGAATGAAAGGGCCTGCAGTGTAGATAGGGTGCTGGAGCTGGTAGGAAGTTCCGAGTAGACCCGATGAAATGAGAGAGGTAGTAAGGTTCTGGGAGAAGAATGCTCCAGCCAGAGGGGAAGGGCCAATGCAAAGGCCCTGAGGAAGGAGTCTGCCAGGCAGCGAGGCCAGTGTAGCTTGGGGGGGGGGGGGGGGGTCGGAGAAGCTTTCAGGCCGTTTAGAGCCCTCTACGGAACGCTATGTTTTATTCCGAATGGGATGAGACCCTGGAAGATGAATAAACGAGGAAGATAATTTCGGCCTCTGTTCAGTGCCTTGAAGAAAACAAAATAGGACGGGATAATAGAGAGGCCTGTGCCAGGGTGGTCCAGGAGAGCGTCCTTGAGGAGGTGACCCTGGAGCTGAGACCAGAAAGAGCAGGAGCCAGGAATTCAAAGGGCTGGGGGAAGGGAGAGGGAGAGAGACCAGGCCTTGGGAAATGAAACCAGAAACAAGCCACCGGGTAGGGCAGGCCTGGGGAGGAGCCTCCGCCCGAGGGGGAGGGGGAGGGGAGAGGGAGGGGAGCGCCCCGCCCCCAGCCGGCCGCCCCACCCGGCCTCTGGGGAGGGAGCAGGCGCCGGGCCGGCTCCAGCCGCCGCCGCCTCCGGGGTATTCCGCCGCCCCGCCCACTCGGGGTGGGGGAGTGGGCAGGTGGGAGGGCCCTGCCCCGCCGGCCCCGCCCCGCGGCGGCCGCGCCCCATCTCCCCACCGCGGGCCGGAGGAGGGCAGTTTGGGGAAGGTGGACTCTGCCCTCAGACCCGGTCCCTCTGCGGGCGAGCCTTTGTATTTCTCTCATCAGTTCTTTAATCAGGCAGGAGCTGGGCCTCTCTGAGCCGCAGTTTGTTTATCCGGAAAGTGGGGGTGCTCCTCATACTGCCCTCACGGTGGTACTAGCAAGCTACACGATTCCTTTTTACTCAGTTATCTGTAAGGCAAAGAGGGCCTCTTAAAAGGTGAGTCAGGTCTCATCCCTGCTCTGCTCAGCAGCCTTCCATGGCTTCCATCTCATTCGATAAAGCTCAGTCTTTCACTTCATGTCCAAGGATGCTCTCTTCTTGTACACTCTGCTGCAGCTACACTGACCTCTTCAGGGTCCCGCACTCCACTCATGCACTCCACTCATGCTCTGACCTCAGGGCCTTTGCACTAGCTGTTACCTCTGCCAGGATCGTCGTCCCCCCCCCCCCCCCCCCCCCGGGCCTGACATGACTCACTTCTCACCTCCTTCAGGTTTTTACTCAAATGTCACCTTGTCAGTGAGGCCTTCTCTGGCCATCCCATTGAAATAACAATACCCCAGCCACTTTCTTGCTTTCTTTTTCTCTCCAGCATTTATCACCTCCTAACAGACTGCATATTTCACTCATTTTTCTATGTATTTCAGCCTTCCCCAACTAAGCTGTGTGAGAACAGGAGCTATTTTATTCCCGTGCCTGGAAGAGCACCAGGCCCACAGTAGGCACTCAATAAATGTAAGCAATTATTGGAATCCCTAGGGTACATCGGGTCCTCCTTTTCGTGGTTTACACAGTCGCTCGGTGAGGTAGGTACTACCGGAGGGCTGAGGTTGGGACATGCTGGTGTGTTTGAAGAACTGTAGAGAATGGTATAGCTGGAGCATAAGAGTGGCAGGGAGCGGGCAACGTGAGGAAGATTAATTCAGAGAGGTAAGAGGGAGGGTTGACCGTTGCAAGGTCGGGAGTTCATTTTTGCAACAATAGAAAAAAACCCAACCACATTGTTTTTGAGCACACACCTGTACTGAGCATAGTTCTATGCACTGGGGCATAGAGCTGGGCTAAGACCAGCAAAACCCCTCCCTCTCAGAGTTGCTAATAGACCAGAAGGCTAACCATAAACAGGTAATAAATAACTTGAGATAGGATAGGTGCTACTAAGAAAATCAAATAGAGTGTGGTGGGGGGATGGTGCACCTGGATGTGTTGAGCTACGCAAGGTAGGGAAGACAACTCTGAGAAGGGGACATTTGCATTGGTGAAGCTATAGGAGAAATGTCCCCTGGGCCATTAACAAGTGCAAAGGTCCTGGGGTGAATGAGCTTGGGATGAAATGAGACCAGTGTGACTGGAGGTGAGGAAGAGTGGGAGATTCAGTTGTGAAGTTAGGAGCAAGATTGCCAGGTCTTACAGGCCTTGGTGAAGTTCAGGTTTTATTCTGGGTATGAGAAGTCACTGAGAGTTTTAAGTAGGGGTAAGATATGATCCAATGGGCATCTATATTGAGATGTGAAACACATGTGCCTCGAGGTTCTCATGACCATCTCTTCTCGATGTTGATTGGCACCCATTGGTCAGCTACCCCACTGCTTTCAGATTTAGATGCAAAGCCCCTCTCTGGGCAAGAATCTTGGCTTTGGGCCAGAAAGCACAGGCAAAATCCCCCTCCTTTCCTGGCCTGTGGACTCCGCCCTGATGTGGTTCCTTTTTGCAGACCTTCCAGAAAAGTCCCTAATGCGGTGTAAACTCACCTGCTGAGTCTTCAAAGGTCTTTGCAGACTTAGCCAGTACAGCAACATATCACACTGCACCTTCCCAGCCTCCCTCTTTTCTCCACTCACCAGCCTGGGCTTGTACCTCCTAAATAAACCCTTAGCACTGTAACTGAAGCCTGATCAACAGTTTTCTAGAAAGATCTTTTTTTAAATAGTTTTTTTTTTTTTGAGAGAAAGAGCAAGAGAGCACACAAACGGGGAGTGGGAGAGGGAGAGGGAGAAGTAGGCTCCCCGCTGAGCAGGGAGCCCTACTCAGTTCGATCCCAGGACCCTAAGATCATGACCTGAGCTGAGGGCAGACGCTTAACCGACTGAGCCATCCAGGCGCCCCTAGAAAGATCTACACTTAATGCTCTCTTTGGGCATTTTCTTTCCCCTCTGGACCTCAGCAATACCTTGCATACAATTTTAAGTGCTAAGAGTGACCTATCCTTTTGGTAATTCATGGGACTCAGCTTCTCCCTCCTGTGTGCACCCATGTGGCTAGGGATCCAAGTTTACCAAGAAGCAAAAACACAAATAGTTAAGAACCAGTGTCTGGGGGCGCCTGGGTGGCTCAGTCATTGGGCAGGCGTCTGCCTTCGGCTCAGGTCATGATCCCAGGGGCGTGGGATCCAGCCCTGCATCGGGCTCCCTGCTCAGCGGGAAGCCTGCTTCTCCCTCTCCCACTCCCCCTGCTTGTATTCCCTCTCTCGCTGTCTCTCTCTGCCAAATAAAATCTTAAAAAAAAAAAAAGAACTAGTGTCTGGAGGCCAACTTAAGAGTCCCCTGGTCCTTGCTTTTCTTGCGGTGTGATGGGGAGCAAGTGATTTGGCCCCTCTGAACTTGAGGTTCCTCCTATGTAAAGCCTGTTAACAGAATTCTGTATTATCATGAAGATTAAATGACTTAATTCAAACAAAGTGGATAGAATAGTACTCTTAACAAGTACTCAGTAATTATTATGTTTAATAATACGCCTGCCCCCACTTTGGCAGGTAAGGGGTACAGGTGGGGAACTTACCAGGTCCCTCCCAGTGACCCACTGAAATTTAGAAACTTTAGGCAACACCATCCCTTCCAAAATACTTTTATTAAAAAAAAAAAAAAAAAGTCATTACAAACAAGCAAAAAACAAAGAACAAGACCCACCACAAAACCCGCCTTTCTTTTAAATAATGCGGCATGGAGCAGTTTGGTTTCCACCCTATTGCACGTGGTCCGGCCTGGTTATGAATCAGGAGACTGCTGGGACTGGGGTCTTGCCAAAGAGGTGGGGTTCAACCTTGGGGGAGGAGGCCAGCCCCTCCTGCTCCCTTGAGGTGCAAGAGGCAAAGTCTGAGTTCCCATAGCAACCAGGCAGCACATCCCTGTCATCCTCTGACAGGCCCAGCTTTATCTTCCCTGAGGCCCCAGTGGTCACAAGGGGAGTAGGAACTGGAGGGAAAGGCAGAAGAAATGTGGGAAGTGGGAAATCAGACTCCCAGAAACAGAGTCACGTTAAGGCATTTGGAACAGATAAATTAATTCAGGAAGACCCACCTTCACAGAAGGCTGTGGTAACCACACACACATGCAAGACGGTTGTGGAACCCTGAAATGGGAGGAAAGGAGGCCACAGTCATTGCTTAGAGACCCCACCAAAACACACATACACACACACACACACACACACAAACAGGTGCATCCAGGGATCCAGCCCACCGAGGCTGAGATGAGGAAAGAGCCCCCAAAGTTTTAGGATCCCAAAATGATTTCCATAATGTGATCGAGTTCATTCCACTCCCAGGACCCTGGGGCACAGAAGAGGTTGTGAGGGGGCTCCGGTGGGGCAAGTGCAGGCTCCTTCTCTACTGCAGATGTGTCAATGTCCAGAAAAAAGTCATCCAGACCCGAGTCCCCCAGGTACCGGGAGCTCAGAGCTTCTAAGAAGACTGGATCAGGCTGGGGCAGCCCTTCGTTCTGGGGTCCTGGGGGAGCCACTGGATTCTGAGGGGGCTCTGTCTCATCCATGGACGTCTCCAATTCCCTGAGAATAGAGCCGATGGTGGCTGACAGGGAGAAGTCCTCCTCGCCCAGGAAGAGGGGCTCAGGGGGCAGGACAGGTGCTGGAGTCAGGCACAGGGCGGCCTGGAGCTGCTGGAGGGTATTGTGGATGAGGACATGCCTGCGTAGGCTCGGTGCTCGGGGACCCAGGCTTCGCTGGACTTTGTCTAACGAGATTCGAAGCAGGGCTTGCTGGTAGCTCCGCAGGCCTGCTGGACCCCAGTCCCACTTCTCATCCTCCTCTTCCTCCTCCAAATCTGAGTGTTTCCTCTTCAAGCCTCCTACCATGGTGCCCTATAGAGAGAAGAGGAGCAAGTCAGACGCAGAGGGGCTAGTTCAAATCCCAAATCTATAAAATGGACATAATATGCGGGATGCCTGGGTGGCTCAGTTGGTTAAGCGGCTGCCTTCGGCTCAGGTCATGATCCCAGGGTCCTGGGATCGAGTCCCACATCGGGCTCCTTGCTCAGCAGGGAGCCTGCTTCTCCCTCTGCCTGCCTCTCCCCCTGCTTGTGTTCTGTCTCTCTCTCTGACAAATAAATAAATAAAAACTTAAAAAAAAGGACATAATATGAATCCCACAGGGCTGAGGAGGGGAAAACAAGATCTGGACCGAAACATAGCTGGGTTCGCATCCCACTTACTTGCCTGTGTGGCCCTGAATAGTGAATCTGCCTCCTTCAAACACAATACTCATTTCTTCAAAAGTGTCACATATGACAGGTGTGGAGTATGGGGACCTGGGCTAGAGGCAGGGAAACTTGGGTTTGAACTCTGGCTGTGACACTGCTCAGCTGTTTGATCTTTGTAAGTTATGTGACATTGCCTCTCTGGGTCTCAGATTCCTCATCTGTAAAGGGAGGACTGTAAAATTTCTTACTATATTGTCAAGAAGATCCCACGTGTAAAATACGCATGGGGCCCATCTAGTTAACCTTAAGGAACAAGAATTTAATTGTCATTTATTCATTCAGTATTTTTACCTATTGACTGCCTATTATATTAGAGACACCTGGAGCCCTGTTAGGACACCTATTTGTAGAGACTCTGCTTTCACAGCGATGATTATTTTTCTTTTTTTTTTAAGATTTTTTTTAAATTTCAGAGAGAGCACAAGTGGAGGGGAGGAGCAGAGGGAGTGGGAGAAGCAGGCTCCCCACTGAGTGCGGAGCTGTAAGTGGGGCTCCATCCCAGGACCCCGGGATCATGACCTGAGCCAAAGGCAGCCGCTTAACCGACTGAGCCTCCCAGGCGCCCCAGGGAGTGTATTTCTTTCCATGCCCTCTTCCTAACGCACTGAAAGCACACCCAAGAACTGGGAAGGAGCCTCCCTCCTCCTCTCTGGCGCTCCTTCGGCTTTCCCCAAAGCGTGCCTCATAAGAAAACTCGCTAACACTCAACTCCTGCCAGGCTCCGCCCCCTCCATGGATCTCCATTCAGTATCCAGGCAGGCAACAACTTAGCCCAGGGGCTTCTGGGAAATGTGGGCCAATTGAGCATGCACTACAATCTCCAGAGGGCTCCGCACGCCAGAGGGCGCAACCTCCCCCGCCCTCCCTCAGGGCATGCGCACAGGGCCCGGGGCCGGTGGGGGAAGGGAACCCGGACTTCCAGCTGCCCGGCGCGGGCCGAGCCCCGCCCTCCGCTGCCTCCAGGGCGGCGGGTCTGAGCTCCACGCCTGGACGCCCCTCCCCCACCCCAGACTCCGGCCCTGAAACTGCTTTCTCCCAGTCCTTCGGACACCAAGAAGGCCCTAGATTCTTCCCCAAAACTACTGTCGGGTCCAGAGACTCGGGCCCCAACACATGGCTCAAAAACTACAAATGCTCTCCGATCTACTCTGTTCGGGATACTAATTTTGAAGCCCTCACCCGTCAACTTTCCCCTATTCTCCCGTCTTTCAAACGTCTTTCGACTTCACCTCCCAACTCTCCCTCTGACTCCAAGACTTGAACATGGGACTCTCCCCAGCACCTCCTCTCCTCCACTGCGTCTCCCTCACCAAGATTCCTTGCACGTAGCTTTCTCGCTTTTCCAAATGCTCGGGATCCCAGCCCCAAGCCCTCACACCTTTTCCAGAACACTGGAGCCCCGAATTCAACCCGCCCGGGAGACGCGAATTGTCCCAATCTTTAGATTTCCTGCCCCAGAAGTTGCTTCCTTGGTTCTCTCGCTTCTCCAAACACCCCATGTCCCAGCTTCAAACTCCGTCCACTTGGAGATCCTGCCCCAACAACTTCGCCTTCGGTCCGGGATCTTGAATTCAGTCTCCAGTCCCCAAAGCCCACCAATCCTATCAGTCACCCTTATTTGCACCCTCTACCCACGCCCAGACCCCGCCTCCACAACTCTCGGGGGGCGCGCCTCCACCTCCCCTTACCCAAGGCAAATCTCAAGCCGGGTGGCCTCTCTCTCTCTCTCTCTCTCACCTTCGCTGCCAGGTTCGCAATGACCAAGTCCTGGAACGTCCGCAGCTTTACGACCCACACCAGCGCTGAGTAGGAACCTCGCTCACCTCCCCAGGGCCTCTCGGTTTGGCCTCCGGCCCACCTAGCTCCGCCCCGGAGCCGAAGCGCGAGACGTGATTGGCTGGAGTGCTGCCCGCTGCGGGGCGAGGATTGGCTGGGTGGAGCCACCGGTCCGTCGCCAGGAGACGCCGGACCCGCCCTCCCTTTCCTTACACCCCGGACCTTTTAAAGGATTCCGACTCGTCCGGGGGCGGGGCCGCGTCTCGAGGGTGGAGGGTGGCGAGGACGTCAGAACCGTTTCCTTCTACTCAGCCACTGTCCTCGCTCCAAAATCGTCAGCATTGCTCTCTGCGATCCCTTTATACCAGGTGAGGACCCCGTAGCGGGAGGGGCTTAACACGCCCCTCCCCACCCCGCTTTCCGGGCGGGTGGGGCTGAGCCCCTCGCGGAGGCCGCGCCCCCGGGGTTCCGAGGGCGGACGCTGCGGGGCGGAGGATGACGCAGCTGAAGACCAGCCAATGGTTCGGCGCGGTCTACGTTGCCTGGGCGATCGCAGCCGGGTTTCTGTCTTCCTGCCCCCACACACTGTGCCCCGGGCCCCTTCTTAATCCTAAAGACTTCTCTGCACGCCCTGTGGTGGTCTCTCCTGCACCCCGCCTCCCCCCGGCGCCCTAGCCTTCCTCTCAGGCAGGATGGCATCTCCACTGCTGGGAACTCGTTCCTCGGTCGCCAAGGTCCTGGGGACAAAGTCCCAGCTCCTCCCCTTTTGCCACAAAGCCCTTCACGGTCTGGCCTGATGCACACTCCTGGCTCCCTGTGATCCGGCCCCACTGGTTGACTTACAGTTTTTCCAAAATGACTTCACGTGCCCGCGCCACCATAAACGCTGAGATTTTTGTCTTGTCTTTTTCCCTGCCTTATCCCTAGTGTTTTAGGTACCGTAGCAAGTACTCAAAAATGACAATAAAGGGCCTCTGGATCTTTAAACTGGTTTCCTCATCCTGAAAATACACCTTCAGTTCCCAGGCTGCCTCTCGCCAGAACTCATCTCAAAAGTTTCCTCCTCTCAGAAGCCCTCCCTTGAAGCTCGAGAGCGGGTGAGGCTCCATTCCATGGTGTCCTGGGCTTCTCCCCGTGCTGGCCCTGACTCCTCTGCCCTTGCCTCCCAATCCTGGCCCTGTGCACTCGAGGTCGGGATTGTGGGCCCTCAGAGGGCAGGTACCAACCAAGGCTATCTTGGTCACCCAGGGCTTGGTCCGTAGCATCACCTAGCACATGGCTGGACACAAAGAAGGTACCCAGTGAAAAGTTTTGTAAATGACCAATATGACAGAAAGAGAAAGAGGGCAGGAAAACAAAAACAACAGTGCCAGTGCCCTGAAAGCCTGAATCAGTAGTGCCCCACCCCCACAAGTTTCACCAAGAGGAGTGGGGAGGCAGATTTCTGCAGGCAACCCCTGGGAAGGGAGGTTAAAGTTCTTCAGACCAGTTCTCATTGGTTGGAACTTGCCACCAGTCATCCTGCTGCTTGCAGAAGCAATATAGGAAGGGAATGGATTTTTTTTGGATGGGGGAGGGGAAAGTTAAAGGTGTTGGGTGGGTAGGTCAGGGAAGCTGGAAGTAGGAAGAGAGGAGTGGCTCACCCAGACCTGGGAAAGGTGTCTCTGGGGAACATGGGCAGGGGACAGTAGATTATCAAAGAGGGACATGATTAGGAAGGGGTCATTCTTCCCCTTCCCCGTCCCAAACCCGCCCCTCTTCCAGGGCCCCCATCTCGGACTGGCCCCACCATAACCCCATCTCCAGGTTCTAGCTCTATGCTTCTTCCTGGATGCCTCTCCCTGCGCACCCCCGCACCCCCATCATGGACTGTCCATTCTGCTCACACCCACTCTCTTGCCCCACTTAAGGCCTCTGTCTTGGTACCCTGGGGCTCCAGAGCCTGCTTTTGCAGGCCTCTGATCCACATTCACCCAGCAGCCAAGGGCAGCTTTATAAAACACAAACCTGACTGTGCCCCCTCCCCGCTTCTCTCCTGCTCTGCCCCTTGCACAGAACTTCAGAATAAAGCTCAAGCTTTTTACAATGATTCTGCAGAGTTTAGCTTCCATGTAACAGCCTCTTGGGGCTGATCACTCCTCCTCTCCGACTTGTTTGCTCTCCAAGCTGGGTCAGGTCATTCTGTCAGCCCTCTGGGCTTCCTCCTTCAGAGCTACAGTCACTCTGGGTTGTCACTCTCACGGGCCGGGGTGTCTTCCTCGGACTGTGAGATCTATGAAGCCAAGGTCACCCCTCATAGTCCTCACAGTCCTCACCGGTGGTCTCTAGCACAGGGCCAGACAAGGACATGAATGAAAACCTTCCACAGAGGCAGAGAGAGACCCTGAACCACCCAGACAAAGCCACACAGAGGAAGTCACAGAGTTGGGTCTTCTAGAATAATTTGAAGCTCTTGGCTCAAGATTTATTTCCTCCTTTCCTCTGTTCTCCATTTCCCAGAATGCTGTCCTCCCGGACAGGGTCAGACCCCTAGTCTCTAGTCGTACTGGTGGGAGGGGTAGGTATTGTGCCCGTCGTACTTATCGGTGGTGAGGCAGCTCAGCATGAAGTGGCCCAGGTCATGTTTGGAGATGACCCTGGAGGGCCCTCGTCCATCCAGGGTCACTGTGTAGGCCCCTGTCAGCGGCTGGTCTCCTGCAAGGTAAGGACACAGGGGATGGGTGAAGCCCATGTCCCTTCCCCCTCCCACAGCATGTGACCACTCCAGGGTGCTTACGGTGTGCCCAGCCCAGAGGGTATAAGAATCAATGATGTATGAAACCCTTACAAATGCAAAGGATGCCAATCTATACCCCTTACTTCATTCATTCGACAAATCCTTACTGATGGCCTATTAGGTGTCAGGTGCTGGGCACCCAGCAAGGGACAAAACAGCCAGGAACCCCCTGCCCTTTGCATGCAGATGTTCCCTGGGAGAACAAATAAGAGAGTAAAATAGACAATATGTTATAGGGAGAGAAATAAAGCAGGGACTAGGCTAGGAACGATTAATAACTCAGTGTTACCCATGGGCAAACTGAATCTGCAAGAGAGAAAGTCACTTCCCAGGGTTGCAAAGGGTGACTTCCCAGTGGCAAAGGCTAGATTTGCTCTGGGTCCTTCCATCTGGAGGCATAACTTGGCCAATAGGAGGGCACCTGTTGGCTGCATTATGATAATTAAAAATCTCTGACAGTGACCAACTTAACTGAGGGATCGAATGTAGCCGACCAGGGTGCAACCTGGAATAATGTGCAGTAAGAAACATACACCCTCACCCAAGTGGCATTCCTGCCAACAATGTTTAATCTGAGCCTGAGAGAAAACAAGCAGAGAAATCCAGAACATGAAATATTCAGAAAGACACCTGGTTTGGTTAATTTTATGAGACGTTTTAAAGAAGAGAGATGGAGGATTGTTCCAGATTCAAGGTGACATGGCAACTAAACACAACCCATGATCCTTGGTCAGATCCTGATTTTGTAGGGAGGGGACATTGAAAAAAAAAAAAAATATATATATTTTTTAAGGATTTTATTTTTAAGTAACCCAATGTGGGACTTGAACCCACAACCCTGAGATCAAGAGTTGCAGCTCTTCCAACTGAGCCTGGCAGGCACCCCAATATTTCTTGACAATTCAAGAAATTTGAATATTGAATATGGAATAGACACTAAATGATGTGATCGAGTTAACATCCATTCCCTTGGCGCATTAATGGGACACTGGGCCATTCCCAAAGATTTTTTTTCTTGGGAGATGCCTATCAAGGTTCTAGGAGTGGAGTGTGATGATGTCTGCACCTTACTCTCAAATGGTTCAGCCAGAAAAAAATTTTAAATATACACACACACACACACACTAAGTGAAATAAGTCAAGCAGAGAAAGCCAATTATCATATGGTTTCACTTATTTGTGGAACATAAGGAATAGCGTGGTGGACATTAGGAGAAGGAAGGGAAAAATGAAGGGAGGGAAAATGGAGGGAGAGATGAACCATGAAAGACTATGAACTCCAAGAAACAAACTGAGGGTTTTAGAGGGGAGAAGGAAGGGGAGTGGGGGGATGGGTTAGCCTGGTGATGGGTATTAAAGAGGGCACGTACTGCATGGAGCACTGGGTATTATACGCAAACAATGAATCATGGAACACTACATCAAAAACTAATGATGTACTGTATGGTGACTAACATAACATCATAAAAAATAATAATAAATATATATATGCACACACACACTATAAAAAGATATATATCACACATGTATTCATATATACACATCAGAGGTATGCATAAAAGAGAAAGCAAACGGCAAAATGTTAATTGAATCTAGATGGTTTATGGATATTCATAAACCAGGGTGCTTACGGTGCTTAGGAAGGGGTCATTCTTCCCCTTCCCTGTCCCAAACCTGCCCCTCTTCCAGGGCCCCCATCTCGGACTGGCCCCACCATAACCCCATCTCCAGGTTCTAAATTTTTACACGCATACTACCAAAAAAAGAAAAAGAAAAAAAGAAACTGAAGAAAGGTACTCTGTGTTTTGTTTTGTTTTTTTTTTTTTTTTAGATTTTATTTACTTATTTGAGAGAGAGAGAGCATGAGCAGAGAGAGGGGCAGAGGGAGAGGGAGAAACAGACTCTCCGCTGAGCAGGGAGCCCAACACAGAGCTTGATCCTGGAACCCTGGGATCATGACCTGAGCTGAAGGCAGACACCTGACTGAGCCACCAGGCCCCCCTGCCTTTTTTTTTTTGAGAAAGATACTTTGTGTTAAATAATTTTTAGGCATGATGTCTCTGGGCTTCACTTCAAACCCGGGAGGTCAAGATATGTACAGATGTTCTGTAATATGTGCTCTGTTCAGAGATGACAAAACCAAGGCTCAGAGGCCGTGGGCCTGAGGTCCACACGGTGCCGGGGCTGGGATTTTCACCCAGCTCCACCCTGCAGCCTCACTGCCACCGATTCAAAACTTAGGATTCTGGTCCCAATAGGGCTCTAAACTGAACCCAAACACTGAACCTTATTTGACCCTCTAGAAAGTGTGCAGGCCTCCTCCTGTCAGGGGCCCCAGGAGGCAGAGGGCAAAGTAGAACTGCTCAAAGCAGGGGTGACTGAGTGGCTCAGTGGGTTAAGTACCTGCCTTCAGCTCAGGTCATGATCTAGGGGTCCTGGGATCGAGCCCTGTGTCTGGTGCCCTGCTCAGCGGGGAGTCTGCTTCTCCCTCTCTCTCTATTCCCCACCCCGACGCCCCCACTCATGTTCTTTCTCTCTCTCTCTCCTCTCAAATAAATAAATAAAATCTTAAAAAAAACCAAACTGCTCTTTCAGTGAGCAGGCAAATATGAAGGAGATACAACTGTCTGGCCTT